GTAAATTAAAGTATTTTGTTTTAATGAAAGTTTTAAATTCCCGGGATTTTTCTTTAAGAATCAAAGTTTGAAAAGTCAATGTGACATCTCGGACTTGTATTCGGGTCGAATATGAGTTAGGGGTGTTATAAGAAAAGCGTGATGCGGAGGTTATTTGCTTGATGGAAACTCGTATTAGAAGGGATAATGCATCTAATTTTTCATCTATTATGTCTTCTAACTGGAATTTTGCTGAAAACTATGATTTAATTGATGGGGGTCGGGTTTGGATTTTTCTGGAGGAAGCATTTGGTGCTTTCTGTGCTACGGAAACATGAGTAAGCCATTACCATTTTGGGTATTGTTGATGGGCATAGGACTGCTATAACCGTTGTTTATGGTTACAATAATGGTGTTGATAGGAGGAGTCTATGAGACCATCTTAGCTCTGTTGGAAATGAAATTGGTTCCTCCTCTTGGGTGATTGGGGGGATTTCAATATTATAGCCAAGGTAGAGGAGAGTTCAGATTTTGATATTATGGGTATTCATTACACCCCTGACATGAAAGACTTCCAAGATTGCTTGGAGAGCCTTGACCTTATGGATCACCCGTTCTTTGGGCCTCTCTTCACATGGTCCAACAAGTAGGAAGAATCGTACTTAGCGCGCAAATTAGACAGGATTCTTGTTAACGATAAATGGTTGTTAGATCATCTTGAATCATTTGATGAATTTACTGCACCGGGAGTCTCGGATCATTGTCTTGGGTTACTATGGACTCACAAGGGAGCTTTGGCCAAGAGACCCCGGCCTTTCAAATTTTTTAATTGCTGGACTGGTCATGAGCAATTTTTGGCTACTGTTTGTGACTCCTGGCAGGGGCAATGTGGCGATAATCCTATGAGCTGTCTGTTTCTCAAACTGAGGAGGCTTAAACCTCTTCTTAAGATTTTTAACAAAGAGCATTTCTCTGATATCTCTGGCAGGGTTACTGCCAAGAGGGCTGAATTGGAACATATTCAATTTTTAAACTTGGCTCACCCTGAACAGAGAAGGACTGCTGATGAGAGGAAAATTCAGGCTGAATTAGTGGATTTGGAGATAACAGAATCTGGTTTTTATAAGCAAAAGGCAAAGGCTCATTGGTTAAGGGAGTGTGATTTGAACACCAGGTTCTTTTATCAGAGAACTCAAGCCAATAAGAAAAGAAACACTATTAGAATTGTCATGGGTGAGGATGGACAGAGATATGATTCTTTTGAAGGAATGGCTTCTGAGTTAGTGAGGTTTTTCACTAACCTTATTGGCTCAGCTGACCCATTGGTTAAGGGATTCCATGTTGAGAGTCTGACTGATCTATTGAAGTATTCCTTTCTTGTTGGTGTCGATTTTTTCCTCACCAAGAAGGTTAGTGATTTGGAAATCAAGGAGGCCTTATTCAGGCAGGGGAAGGATAAAAGTCCGGGTCCTGATGGTTTTACATCTGGTTTCTTTACAGCCGCTTGGGACATTGTAGGTTGTGATTTTATTTTTGCTGTGAGGTTTTTTTTTCAAGCTTCCTACATGCTGCCTGGTTTTAATGATACTGCCTTAGTGTTGATTCCTAAGTCTTTAAATGCATCTTTAGCAAAAGATTTTAGACCCATATCTTACTACTCTGTGGTCTATAAAACTATAACCAGAATCCTTGTTAATAGGCTAGTCCCCTACTTCCCTGGAATGATTTCTTTGAATCAGACAACATTTGTCAAGGGTATAAATATTGTGGATAATACATTACTAGCTCAGGAAATAGTTAAGGGCTATTCTAGGAATAGTCTCTCTCCTAGATGTGCTATTAAAATAGACCTTCAGAAGGCATTTGACTCTGTTCATTGAGATTTTCTGCTGACTGTTCTTGAGGCTATGGGTCTTCCTGAAAAATTTTGTAATTGGATCAAAGTCTGCATTACCACACCCATGTACTCTGTCTCTTTGAATGACAACTTGGTGGGTCATTTTAAGGGTGCTAGGGGGATTAGGCAAGGTAATCCCTTGTCACCCTACCTATTTGTCATTGTGATGAATGTGTTGTCATCCCTCTTGAATATTGCTGCAAGGAAGAGAATTTTCAGATTCCACCCTAACTGCAAAAGAATTCAGCTCACCCATTTTTGCTTTGCGGATGACCTCTTAGTTTTTTTTTCATGGTTCCCTTGAGTCGGTGCTGGGAGTTAAATGTACTCTGGAAATGTTTTATGAGCTTTCAGGACTCAAGTTGAATGTTTTAAAAACTGAATTTTTTGCGTGTGGCTTGAATCAAACCACTCTTGATCAGATTTGGTTAGCCACTGGTTTTTGAGTGGCCCAGCTCCCTGTTTGGTATCTAGGGGTTCCCCTAGTCACTCGCAAACTTTCTAGTAAGGATTGCTCTGCCTTGTTGGAAAGAATTAAGGACAAATTGAACCAATGGTCCAACAGGAAGCTAAGTTTTGGAGGAAGATTGCAGTTTTTCAAATCTGTTCTCTTTAGCATTTTTAATTTTTGGTGCCGGCAGCTGATTATTCCCAAATGAGTCATTAAGGATGTTGAGAGGCTTTTCATGCATTTTTTCTGGAAAGGTTGCGACGCCCTAACCAGAGCAGCCCGTGTAAACTGGGGTCAAATCTGTTCCTTGAAGTCTGAGGGAGGTCTGGGACTTAGGGACCTTGCCCTCTGGAGTAAATCTTGTTGCTTGATTCTAATTAGGAACATCTTGGCAAATGAAGGTTCTTTGTGGATAGCATGAGTACAAGCTTATTGTTTTAAATCTGAAAGTTATTGGGAGGTTGTTTGTAAGCCTCACTTTAGCTGGATTTTAAGCAAATTAATGAGGCTTCGAGATGATGCGAGTAGATTGTTTTCCCCTGGTACTAATTTGAGTCAGATAAAAGGCAAGTGGATATGGGACAGTATCAAAATTAGCAGGAAGAATGTGAGTTGGCACAAGATCATATGGTTCTCTTCCTACATACCTAAATTTTCTTTAATATCATGGATGGCATTACTCGATAGGTTGCCAACCAGAGACATGCTTATTCGTTTTGGCTTGGTTATTGATGCTACCTGTATTGTTTGTGGTTCTGGTTTAGAGACGCGCGATCACCTATTTGCAGACTGCTCTTATGCTAAAGATGTTTGAAATACTGTTCTTGGACCATGTGGCATTCGTAGTGATGCTTATAGCTAGGACCAGCGTCTCAATTGGCTGGTTGTTAATTTTAAGGGTAAGACACTTCGAATACGAATTCTAAAGCTGGCTTGGACTGGTTTTCTATACCACATCTGGGAAGCACGTAACCTCAGATTTTTCATAGGCCTTTCTAGATCAAGTGAGGATATTATAAATAGAATTAAGGAGGCAGTGAAAACTAAATTGTATAGCCTTAGTTTACACAGTATAGATGATGGTAATAGAGCTTTGTACATAAATTGAGAACTGTTATAGGTTGAGACAACTCTCTTGTAGCAGCTAAGCTGCATTTTTTTTTGTTGGAATATAATTTACTCATCCAAAAAAATAGTTTATAAATTTAAATTCTACTCATAATAAAAAGTTAATATTAACAATACTTTTTAAACGAATTGTTATTTCCAAGCAAACTTTTTCTTTGATAGGGGAGAGGAGAATCATTACATTAACTTTTACACGATTACAAGAAGTGCCATAGGAGCCTCCAAGTAGAATAGACTTAGCGAAGTCGACAGAGGATTGGCATCAACAAGAGATTCACAATTGCTCGATGTCAGCTTAGCTAAATAATCAACTGCCCCATTTGCTTCTCGATAAAATTTTAACAAGTCAACAATCTATGGTTTAGAACAAATAAAAGCGATGGCTCTAACTGTAACAAAGGGGTTGGACGGAGATGGTAGTGAGAGAAGATGAAGCGCATCTTTACTATCATTTTGTATTAATAATTTCTCAAAGTCATAGTTTTCATGCAAGTTAGATTCCTTCATAAATTCCCCATCACAAAGCATCAAAGACCGGAAGAAAAAAAAACAAATGTCTTGTGGAAAGCTTCGAGACAAACATCCATGTGATCTAAAAAAATACATGCAATCGATCCACATCATGTAAAGTGTGAGACAACACCATCTGTACATCTAAATTGAGATTTATATAAAAGTTACTATTATTTAATTATTAAATATTAAACATGTTGGATCTTATATATATATATTAAACCCAATCAATTATGTATAATCACAATACCGGTCAAACATGAAAACACTCGTTACAGTAATTTATAATTACTAAGAAATTAGTTTGTGGTGTTTAACACACTATACAGTGTTAACAAAATGCTAAAGTCTAATTAAACATTGGTTTAATGTCAACATTAACCTAATTTATTGAGCAGTACAATTAAATTGTTTAATGTTGAGTTCTGTTAATTACGAGATAATTTTGTTCGTACTATTTTTGAAATTGCTAATTTCCTAAAAAGATATCATATATATAGAGAGAGCGAGATTAAAAAAATTAATTATATGAAAAAAATAATTATTCAAAATCATGAAAGAAGGAACAATAAAAAAAAAAGAGCGAAAAGATTGAGCAGAGTATCTGTCACGTAGGATATAACGGGTCCTACGAACAGCATACTTTTGGGAAAATACTGGTTCTCATTTTTTGAATTAATAATTGTATCTCATCTATTGATCATTTAATTTAGATTGAATTTTGTAAGAATTTATTATAAAAGATGATATTTTTAATTCAATTTACTTCATATATAAATGTCAAAATTTAAATATCTAATATTATTTAAATAATCTAATATCCTATTTTACTAAATCAACTATGTGAAAAAGACAGGTATTCGTTTGCTATAAAAAAAAAGCTTCAAAGCTATGCCGTGTCATTACTTGGAAATAAAGGAAAAAATTGAAGTTCAGAAGAGAAAATAAAAAGTGAAAATCATTCTTTTAAAAAATCGTTGGGTATTTACGTATTTATTTAAAGAAGACAGAGCCGCAAATGCATCCCGGGAATTACTGTCAGTGATTTCGAAGAGAAAATCTGTTTGGCTTAAGCCTAAAACACTCACTTTTATATCTCTCTCTCTAGATTATCTCCCTTTAATCAATTTCTTTTTCAAAGAAACTCTCACTCTGTTTTTGTTTTTCTCATTCCATTGCTTGATCTGCAAATCGTACTCTCTACTATTTTTGAGTGGTTTTTGCCAATGCTTTTTTTAAAAAAAAATTGTTACAGTTTGGTGTTGATGATGAATCGGCCTCAGATTCAAGGTACCTCTTTTTAAATTGTTACTATTATTCTTGGACTTCCCCTTTCTTCTTCAGTTATTTTTTTCCGTTGAAATTCTTGCTTTGCTAAAGTTTTGCAAAACTTGGAACACCTGGGTTTTCTCTTTTGGTTCAAATATCAATGATCTGCTCACTTTTTTTCAAAGGTTTGGCTGGGCATTGTTTTCTTTTTCATAATATGGTTTGCTGTTTGTTTGGTTTTAAGTGAATTGGGTTTGGGATTTTTCCCCAGCTGCCAAATTTAATAATTTTATGTTGAATTTAGGATTTTTTTCCTTTATGTTTTGAATTAACATTTGGGGTTCTTTTAGCGGTACCCCCTATTTTGTTGCTTTCACCAATGTAGATTTGTTCTCAAATTCTCTCTTATTACGAAACTCTTATAGCTCATAAGACTTTCAAATCTGGCTTATGCTAGAATTTTGATTGTAATTTAAGTATGACATAAGAAAAAAAATCAGAATGTTTTTGCTTTTAAAATTTGAAATTTATATGCAACTTATTGTTAGAAGCTCCAATTTGCAAATATTAGTATGTGCTTCTGTTTGATTTGCGTATTTTTTTCCTTTCTTGTGAAACCAGTTCATAAAGCAAGGAAAATTTTGACTGAGTAGCTCCATTAAAATCTACTAGTGAAGGCTAGATCTGGGATCTCTCTCTGTTTGACAGTTGTGCGCTTGTTTCCTTTAAAGCTTGATTCTGAGAGATGGCTCTGGGTGGGAGAAGAGCAAGGCTCAGGTGGAGTCATCTCTATACGTTTTCATGTTATAAGCCAAGCTCTACTGATGAAGAACCACATTCTATCAATGGGCAGGGATACTCGAGAGTTGTGCACTGCAACCAACCTCATATGCACAAGAAAAAACCTTTTAAATATCGATCGAATTACATATCGACCACCAAGTATAATTTCATCACTTTCTTACCAAAAGCTTTGTATGAACAATTCCACCGAGTTGCTAATTTGTACTTCCTTGGAGCTGCAATTCTTTCGCTTACACCTCTTTCGCCTTTTTCTGCTGTGAGCATGATTGCTCCCTTGGCATTTGTTGTGGGGCTTAGCATGGCCAAGGAAGCTTTGGAGGATTGGCGAAGGTTTATGCAAGATATGAAGGTTAATAGTCGTAAAGTAAAAGTTCATAAGGGGGAAGGAGTTTTTGGAAATAAGTCTTGGCAGAAGGTTCGGGTTGGTGATGTGGTGAAAGTGGAGAAGGATCAGTTTTTTCCAGCTGATTTATTACTCTTGTCATCCAGCTATGAGGATGGAATTTGCTATGTAGAGACTATGAATTTAGATGGTGAGACAAACTTGAAGGTAAAGCGAGCTTTGGAGGTAACTTTGCCTTTGGATGAGGATGAGGCTTTCAAGAAATTCACAGGAACAATAAAATGTGAAGATCCCAACCCGAGCCTTTTCTCCTTTATCGGTAATTTTGAATATGATCGTCAAGTTTTTGCTCTTGACCCTAGCCAAATTCTTCTTCGAGATTCAAAGCTGCGTAATACTGCTTTTGTCTATGGGGTTGTGATTTTCACTGGCCATGATAGCAAAGTAATGCAGAATGCCACAGAGTCTCCTTCAAAGAGGAGCAGAATAGAAAGGAAAATGGATTATATAATATATGTTCTTTTCAGCCTCCTTCTAGTGATCTCTTTGATAAGTTCTATCGGCTTTGCTGTGAGAACAAAGTACTACATGCCAGATTGGTGGTATCTGCAACCCCAGAATACTGACGATTATTATAATCCCAAAAAGCCTGGAGTATCAGGGGTTTCGCATCTGGTAACTGCCCTCATACTCTATGGCTACTTAATACCTATTTCACTTTATGTTTCGATCGAGGTGGTGAAGGTTTTGCAAGCGTCCTTCATTAATCAAGACATACACATGTATGATGAAGAAACTGGGAATCCTGCTCAAGCTCGGACATCAAATTTAAATGAGGAGTTGGGCCAGGTTGATACAATCCTTTCAGATAAAACAGGCACTTTGACTTGCAATCAGATGGATTTTCTCAAATGTTCAATTGCTGGTACCACATATGGTGTGCTCTCTAGTGAAGTTGAACTTGCTGCTGCACAACAGATGGCTAATGACTTTGAGGATCAGGATGCTAGAAGGCCAACTGGTTCCAGGCAAAAAGGAAAACAGCAAGAAATTGAACTCGAGACTTTTGTTACTTCGAAAGATGAAAAGGATCGTAAATCTCCCATAAAAGGGTTTAGCTTTGATGACAACCGGGTCATGAAAGGGAACTGGTTGAAAGAGCCTAATGCAGATATCATTATGTTATTTTTCCGAATATTAGCAGTTTGTCACACTGCTATTCCTGAGCTGAATGAAGAGACTGGAAGTTGTACTTATGAAGCAGAATCTCCTGATGAAGGAGCCTTTCTAGTTGCAGCAAGAGAATTTGGTTTTGAGTTTTTTAAAAGAACTCAATCAAGTGTGTTCGTCCGTGAAAGATATTCTGCTTCTGGAGAAGCAATTGACAGGTGAGGATGCTAAAGGAAAATTGTTTGTGCTCTCTGCTAATGTATCCTGAATTTCTATTGTTTTAGCATCTTAATGGTTCTCTTGGCATCTTGCAGGGAGTTCAAAATTCTAAATATGTTGGAATTTACTAGCAAAAGAAAGCGGATGACAGTAATTGTAAGGGATGAAGATGGGCAGATTCTTCTCCTGTGTAAAGGTGCTGATAGGTTAGTATCTCTATCCTTTTAAACTCTTCAAGGTATTAACAGATGAACAGGTTAAGGCGGCATACTCCAACCCGTTCATTCAAAGGACCGGTGATTTATTTTTTGACTTATATATTGTTACCCCATCTGGTGCAGCATTATTTTTGATCGATTATCAAAGAATGGAAGATTGTATCAGGAAGATACCAGTAAACATTTGAATGAGTATGGAGAAGCTGGATTGCGTACGTTGGCGCTGGCTTATAGAAAACTCGATGAGTCTGAGTATTCTGCTTGGAGCAATGAATTTCAGAAAGCAAAAACTTCTATTGGGACTGATAGAGAGACATTGCTTGAAAAGGCTGCAGATATGATGGAGAGGGATTTGATTCTCATTGGTGCTACTGCTGTGGAAGACAAATTGCAGAAGGGGGTATGTGTTACCTAGCTTGCTTGCTCTAAGAAACTTCCTTTTTGATTTACATCAACCTGGTTTAACTTCTCTCGATTGCAGGTACCCCAATGTATTGATAAACTTGCACAAGCAGGTCTGAAGATTTGGGTTTTGACAGGGGACAAGATGGAAACCGCTATAAATATAGGGTATCTCTTGCCATTTAATATTAGACTCTTTTTTACCACTCTCAAGGGACCTGGAATTGGGTTTCTCAATTGAAAGTTTTTCATGAAAATATTTTAGTGTAAGTTTTTTCTTCATGCAGATTTGCTTGCAGTCTGCTAAGACAAGGCATGAAGCAGATATGTATTACAGCAATTAGTTCAGATGCCAAAAATGTAAGTATTTCTTTGTGAAAGAGGACTTCAATTTTCTTTTCCTGAGGAAATTTATTTCATTTGATGTATTTTTGCTTTTTGTTGCTGATCAGGTGGTCAAGGAGAACATAGTGTTGCAAATTACCAATGCTTCACAAATGATCAAACTAGAAAAAGATCCACATGCTGCATTTGCGTTGATCATCGATGGAAAGACCCTTGCATATACCTTGGAAGAGGATATGAAACAGCAATTTCTAGGTTTAGCAGTTGAGTGTGCATCTGTCATATGCTGTCGTGTGTCACCCAAGCAGAAGGCACTAGTAAGATCTCTTTTTCCTTTCGTTTTGTTTCCTCCTAGGCTTTTCTGAGTTATCAAAGGATCTAATCAGGTGATATCCCTGGCAATGGAGATCTTATTGTGTATTCTATTTATTTAGTACATTTTTTTTTCAAACCAGGTAACAAGACTAGTGAAAGAAGGAACTGGGAAAACCACCTTAGCAATTGGTGATGGTGCAAATGATGTCGGAATGATTCAAGAAGCTGATATTGGAGTCGGCATTAGTGGTGTAGAAGGCATGCAGGTAGTTAACATATCTAGCTCATCTTCATGCTGTTTCAATATATTCCTGTACTGATAGTAGCAAATGAATCGTTTATATAGTTTTACGTCAAGGATGTTCCTTATTTAAGAATTTAGAGGGGGCGAGATTATCTCATTGGAAATTGGCTTAGATGGGAAGTTTGATATGTATTTCGAGCTTCATGACTCCTGTTGGCTGCTCTTTTGTTCAGTTAGAATTAGTAAATAGATGCAAACCTTAGCAGTTTACACACAACTGCCCTCATTGGGGGGGTAAAATCTTGCTGGGCTTCTTTTGACTCTTAGTAGCAATGACTTGCTAAAATGTTCATCATGTAATTATGTAATACATTTAGGCCTTAACTCTCCATCTTGAAATGATGCTTCTTAAGACATCTTATTTGTGCATTTTAGTTAGTTACCTCCTATAAATTGTTCTCTTTTGTAGGCTGTAATGGCCAGTGACTTCTCCATTGCCCAATTTCCTTTCTTGGAAAGACTTCTCGTTGTCCATGGACATTGGTGTTATAAGAGGATTGCACAGATGGTAATGTCAACAGATTGACTGAACTAATTTTTCATTTTGTTGCGCATTTTTATCTCAATCATCTTCTGTTTTTGTACCAATTTAATTGATATTTTTTATTCAGGTTTGCTATTCCTTCTACAAGAACATAGCATTTGGCCTCACCCTATTCTACTTTGAGGCATTCACAGGCTTTTCTGGACAATCAGTATGACGACTGGTACATGTCAACAGATTGATGAACTAATTTTTCATTTTGTTGCGCATTTTTATCTCATCATCTTCTGTTTTTGTACCAATTTAATTGATATTTTTTATTCAGGTTTGCTATTCCTTCTACAAGAACATAGCATTTGGCCTCACCCTATTCTACTTTGAGGCATTCACAGGCTTTTCTGGACAATCAGTATATGACGACTGGTACATGTTATTATTCAATGTTGTTCTTACCTCATTGCCTGTGATCTCACTAGGAGTGTTTGAGCAAGATGTTTCTTCCGAGATCTGCTTACAGGTCAGTCTACAGATGTTTCTTGTATTTGCAATTCATCAATGTTTCCTGTAATTTTCATTATAACGTTTAGCCTACTTTTGTTGCAGTTTCCTGCATTATATCAGCAAGGACCTAGAAATTTGTTTTTCGATTGGTATAGGATACTTGGGTGGATGGGCAATGGACTATATTCTTCCCTTATCATTTTCTTCCTCAATATTGTCATCTTTTATGACCAAGCTTTCCGTGCTGGAGGCCAGACGGCTGATATGGCTGCTTTGGGAACAACAATGTTTACTTGCATCATTTGGGCTCTCAATTGCCAGATTGCACTCACTATGAGCCACTTCACATGGATTCAACACTTTTTGATATGGGGCAGCATTTCGGCTTGGTATTTGTTTCTCCTTGTTTATGGCATGATATGTCCCACTATCTCTGGTAATGCCTACCAAATTCTAGTGGAAACTCTCGCTCCGGCACCCATCTATTGGTTAGCCACCGTTTTAGTAACTGTTGCATGCAATCTCCCATACATGGCCCATATATCTTTCCAGAGATATTTCAACCCATTGGACCATCATATCATCCAAGAGATCAAGTTCTACAAGAAAGACGTCGAGGATCAACACATGTGGTCGCGGGAGCGATCGAAGGCAAGACAGGAAACCAAAATTGGATTCTCAGCACGGGTAGATGCAAAGATTAGGCAATTAACATGGAAGTTGCAAAGAAAGCACACATCTTCTGAATTGAACAGTCCGAATCTTCCATCATTACATGGCTCATGAAATTAGTTTCCTTTTGGAGATTTTTAGGGTCTTTTTTCCGGGCAGTTTACAGTTGTTTTCTTTTTAATTGTTATTGCTATTCATTTGCTCATCTGTTTATAGGTTATAAGTCTCATTCATTATACAAAGTCCTTTGGTGCTATTATGTACACAACTAGACGCCCTTAAGAGTTTGTAGCTAGTGAAAAAAATTAGTTGATCTTCCTCGTTTTCGACTGCCTTGCCTCGGCTTGTCTAGGGTTATTCACTGTCTGTACAATGTTGAACTTGTAGATTGTAAAGAGAAAACAATGGTTTGAGCCATGTCAATCTTCCTTGTGTTTTGATCTTGTTTTGTTCAGTGCATATTTGTAGTTAATAATAGGTTTTGTAATAAATCTGTTTCCATGTTCGATTCGTCGTGTTTTATAAACTTTTTCCTAATTGCTTTCCCCTTAGGGTGCGTTTGGTTCACAGAATGTAAGATTACCATTGAAAATAAAAGATTATCGGAGAATAGGATTACTAAGAATGTTGTATTTTGTGTTTGATTGGTTTAGCAGAAATGTAAGATTATAGTGTTTGGTTAAAGGAATAAAATATTATTGGAATGTATATTTTATTAAATTGTGCTTATTATATATTTATTTTTTTAACAAGTTGAATTCTATTATAATATTACTATAATTAATTTATATATTTTCTTTAAAAATTTTAAATTCATAAAATTTATATAATTTTTTTTACAAAATTGTAAAGATAAATAAGTTTAATGAAATGGTACAATTTTATTTTAACCCCTGAACTTCATATAAAATTTTAATTATAGATTTTTTTGTAAATCTAAAATAGTTTAAGGATAAATTTGTAATTTAACCTTCGTAGAATTTTTATTATTCAACGACAGAAGAAGAATATTTTTTAGAGAAATTTTTTTAGGACATTTTAGTCCAAAACGTCGGTAATCAAACAATACCTAAGGAAATGTGTAATCATATTCCCGGTAATATACCCTAAAAACCCACTGTTGAGATTAAAAGATTACCGAAAATATGATTACTGGCCATACAACCGGGAGAATGAGAATTCCATTCCCCAATAATCCCATATGCCGTGAACCAAACGGCCCCTTAAGTTTTAATATTTCCATTATTAGATGTCTAGATTTTTATGTTGTATGCATTAAATAGTTTTTAGATCACAGACATATGCCTGAATAGAATTTTCTTTAACAAAATATTTAATTTTTAAAATAAAATAAATTTTTATTTTTAAATAAATTATATATAGTAATTATAGATATATTGTAAACAAAAAATTTAAGTAAGGGCAAAATTACCACCATCTCCCCTTTTGCTTTCAGATCTTCATTGCAGATAATAAATAATTTAATATAAACTACAATTTACTTTAAAATCTTCATATATCTCATTAAATAATTTACGATTTACATTAAATTTCTCTAAATTAAATTTACCGTCGTCTCGTCTTTTACTTTCATATTTTTATTGTAATTTCTTCAGCGGGAGGTGTTAAGATTATTATTTTTTTCTAGATGGGGAATAAGAATTAAAATAAAAAAAATTATTATTATTGAGTAAATTATATAATCCATGTGTTAAATTTTAATTAGACTGAAACACTTAGGGGCACAAACAAGAGACAGAAGAATTTTATTCATTCCATTATCGCCTAGGAAAAACTTGTTCTTTGATTGGTTCAAAGCTGTATAAAAAACATCTACAATTTAGAATTAATGTATCGTCTAGTAACCAACACTTATTTTATTGATTTGATACTTAAGTTTTTTATTTAAATTGTATGCATGTGTTTGTACAAATTTATCTTAGTGGTTAAGGAAATTGTTATTATTTATATAGGTCACGGGTTCGAGGACCAACATCTACAATAGAATGATTGAGCGTTGTCAAATGCTTGAGAGTATTTAGAACAGATACTACTCTTTGTAAATCACCTTAACTTAATAAAAAAATTGTATGCTTGCGTTTGATTTCAATTTTTAATATAATTCTTAATTAAATTAGGTTAGATGTTTGGATGGATATTTAACACACATTTTTGTTAAAAATAAAAACAAACATTTAGACCGAAAATGAGTAATAAATTGAACACTAAAGTTAAATTTAAATAAAAAATCAAAATAAATATTAAAATTAGATTTAGATTTAGATATTAAATTAGAACAGAAAAAAATTAATAAATTGAAATCATAAACAAACTCAGAAATGTGAAAATACAGTTAAAAAAATAAGTAAATCTACTATATGCAAGGTCAAAAATAATTATTAATCTCAAGATTTTAAACTCTTATTCTCAAATTGAAGTGATTTTAAAATTCGATTGAGTGTGAAAATAACAAACAATAGAGCATCTCAACTTATTGTCAATCTTATCCTGCAATACCTTCGAGGAGTGACAGAAACTTTGCATTTATGCCGGGCACACTTGTTTTAGAAATTCATGAAACCAAACAAAATACTTGAGAAATAATTCAGCCACATGTATAAATATTTAGAAACAAATTTGACACATTTTTCTATTTTCTCTTTGCTTTGTCAAAGTTGATCTCTGGTTTTGTGTTCAATGGGGTATATAGTTGATGAACTGACAAGTCTGGAATTGGATACGGGGGAAGACGATGTTTGGCATCCAATGGAGGGTATTGCTATCTTGGATCTGGGAGAAAACATGTTTTTGTTTCGTCTGTTTCTTGAGATGGATGTGAAGCGCATTGAGAATGGAGGACAGTGGAATTTTAATTCCCATCTCCTGATTTTACAAAGTTTTGAGGAGTATGATACAACTGGAATAGCGCTTGGGTATAAACGAATAATGTGGATTCGTGTCCGTCTGGATGTCCGTTTGGCGCTAAAGAGGAAGAAAAAGTTGCAGTTGAAGAATGGCAGTTTCCATTATGTTCGCTTCGAATATGAAAAACTAACGTTGTTTTGCTTTGTATGTGGAAAGCTAGGCCATGGGGAGAGTTTCTGTCCGATAAGAGCAAGACATGGAGGGGATGAGCTGCCGATGGCGTGGGATCTGTCCATCCGCACGCCGTCGGGAAGGTCTGCTCCACCAAAGAGCGTTTGGTTAAGGAAAGACGGAGATTATGAAGCATCGGGCTCATAAAGATCTCCCAACATCAATTATGGGGATTAGTCCAATTGATTTGGATTCTATTCCGAATTTCAAGGAAACATTTCTAAATTTCAGCGCCAGTCAAAAACAATACAGTTACTATAACAGAAAAGAGTAGTATGGGCCGCAAGGAAAGTATTTCAAAGGAAGTGGATATAATGGGTCAGGACACATTAGTTTTAACAGACTTGGATACGGAGATGGCTAATTTGGAAGAAGATAATCTAATTGGTGATTCAGAAGTAAAAAAAGGCCTAGAATTCGAGTGGGGGAAGTTTCGGGCCAAGGTTTAAATGAGGGGGAGGAGTTTGGAAATAGACCGTTTTCTCATAATCAAGTCATATCGGCAGGCCACGCTCAGTAGGCCAGCAGGGAGCAATGAAAATATTAAGCTGGAACGTTTGAGGTCGGGTCAACCTTGACCGATTAGGCATCTTAAACACGTTGTTAAAGACACGAACCCATCAAAAGTCTTCTTTATGGAGATTAAGTTACAACCAGCTAGTATGGAGAAGTGCAAAGAAAGTGTGGTTTCTTGAATGAAATTGATGTGGCTGCTACGGATAGGAGTGGAGGTTTATCTTTGGGCTAGAAAAATGATTGTAAGGTGGCGCTTCAATCCTTTTCTTCTAGACACATCAATGTAATTGTTGAGGACTCAGATGGTGTTAAATGGCATTGCACAAGCTTCTTTAGGGATCCTAATGCAAATCATAGGAACACAGCTTGGGATCTAATTCGGCACTTGAATACCAGTTCTCGATACCCCTGGTTAATTATAGGGTATTTCAATGAAATTCTTTATAATTATGAGAAGCATGGCAATTCTATTCGGCGAGAAAGTCAGATGAATGCGTTTTGGACTGTTCTGAATGATTGTGGCCTTAGCGATATTGGGTATAATGGTAGTTGGTTCACTTGGGAGATGGGGAATTTTGCTGCAACAAATGTTAGAGAGCGGTTGGATCGTGGGGTGGCTAATGACCAGTGGTGGGATCTTTTTCCCTATTTTCGGCTGGACCATTTACATAATACGCTCTCTGATCATTGCCCTCTCTTGGTTCACACTGATGCTTCTTCGGGCATGTCTAAACCTCATTGACATTTTCGTTTTGAAGCGGCCTGGTTAACGGAAGACACATGCGAGCAAGAGGTTCGAAAGTTGTGGGTGGTAAACGATGCTTCTCTGCTTAATAAATTGGAAAAAGTAAGGGGCTGGAAATCTAGTTTCATAATATTAAAATAACCAAGCATGTAATACCCAAATTATGGTTAGTGACCAAAACATAAATTTTAAAAGTTTAGTGGACAAAGTATAAAGTTTGGAAAGTGAAGGGACCGAATTAGTAATTTTCCCGAAAAGAAATTTTCTTACATAAATGAATAGATCATCCTCAAGAATGAAGTTTTTCTGGAAATCAGAATTTCTGTATAAGATTTGTATTAAAGGCTATAAGGCAGTAAAGTTCGATATAGAATTGGATAATCAAATTGGAATTTCATGAAAATTTGAAGAATGATAGATAAAGGTTAGAAATATTATTTCCAAATTTTAGAATAGTGAAATTTAATGTGGATCAGTGGAATTGAAGTCACTTTCCATATATAGCCGAAATTGGAAAATTTAATGACTAAATTGCAGTTTTTGAAATTTTACAAGGGTAAAGGTGGAAAGTGAATTTTTATTTGTTCATCTTTTAATTTGAAGATGATATGATAAGATGATGTCATGGATGATGTTATAGCAATGGCAAAGTGGAAATTATCATATTTTGGTAATGTTAAAATGGTAATTTTCAATTAAATGAACTTTAAATTCATTTATATTAAATTAAACAAGTGTATATGTTAATTATGAAGAGAAAACAATAATTTCCAGTCCCTTTTCATGCTCAAGTCGTGCACCCCATAGTCAGGTAAGGAGAAATTTTGATTTTATTTGTAAGCTTATTCGATTGATTTTTGGATTTAGCTATTAGAGAGATAATTAGTCCTCTTAAAATTCTCTATCATTTGGTATAAAAATTACATGGAAATCATGCTTA